TAAACAACTGTAATTATTGTAATTATTGTATCTGGCTGGAATTTAGATGTATCAATACTCGTAGATAACGTTATTTTCTTTGTATAACACCTTATTTTACTTCTGTTACTTCTGTAATTCGTGTATTGCAAACAAGCTGTACTATACTTTATCATATTTCCACACCCGGCAGTGCATTGCGGCACCGGGAATGTACTTATTTTGTATATAATAAACGATATTGACTGACTGACTGACTGTAAATTCATTGAGTTGTTAGTTATTTCCCCATTTTATTTTCCAAATTTTTGCAAAGTATTCGATAATTTTATCAATGGGCGACATCTGGCTATCACTTGTAAAGATACATTAGGGGTTGTACTGTATGCCCTAGTTAGTTGGATAAGGGCTCTTCTTTGAGCTGATATCAGTTTTCTGTATATATGAATTTTATGAATGTCTTGGTACCAACTTCCACATGCGTACGTTACAATTGGTATAAAAATCTGTTTGTATATAATATGTTTTGCTTCATATGCCAGTCCCCAGTGCTTCTTGGCAACACTAGCGAAGTTGTTGAATATAGTTCCAGTTCTATCACATACGTACTCTATGTGTGCATTCCATAGTAGTCGAAAGTCTAGTATTATTCCTAGATATTTAATGGTTTTGACTATCTTGATATTTTTGCCATTCATTTTTATAGTGGGCGTTCTTAGGTATAAATTCTGATGTCTGGGTTTATTGAATACTATTCCTTTCGTTTTATTAATATTGAATGACAGTTTGCATTCTTCGCCCCATTTGCTAATTCTGTTAAGTGTGTCAGTACCGTCTTTCTCAAGAGCAGCTCTTGTGTTTCCTGCTATCAGCACAATTGCGTCATCCGCAAATGCTATTGTTTCATGCCCAAAACATTGTTTTAGAAAACTGTCAAAGACTATATTCCATAAGATAGGGCCACACACTGAGCCCTGTGGGCATCCCCTTACTACATTTCTCCTCACAGTGTGGGCTCCGCAACATAATTCTGCCGTTCTGTTTTTAAAATAATTGTTAAAGACTCTATATAAATTTTTGGGGCATTGCTTTTCTCTTAGGTTATGAATAATTGAAGGCCACCAAGCGCTATCGAACGCTTTAGCAATATCTAAACTGATAGCCAAGACATATCTGTTGTTTACTAGCATTCTATTAATGCTGTTAATGACCTTTTCTATAGCCT